GTCAACATCAGCTCGTTTCTATTAGCGTTCTCTTTTGAGAGCAGCCTCGACCAGCATGGGCGTAGCTGTCCAATTCAGGATTTATATCGCGAATGCTCGTATTACGTATATATCCTAGTCGAGCGATGGTCGTGCGACTCTATGACGGGACTGTTCTTAGTGCTCACTCGACATCTCAGGTGACTTGTCCTACTTTTATTCCAACCTCTCCAACCTCCGATGACTCCAATAGAGCTGGCCAATCACGTGCTTAGTGAGCGCTCACATCAAGCAGCATTCTAGAAAACACCGTCACTTGTCGGAGTTTGCTTTCGGCTATCTTGATTACGTCAGTGGCCGGGGTGCCTGTGCCTACGTACACTTACGAGTATCTCGTTTCTCACGGGGTGTCGCTCTCGTCGCTCTCGTGTCCACGGTTCGTTCCTACGCAATATCACGTTTGATGAAGCAGCCTGCTTTCTAGGTGTAAACAGTCATTACGCAAACGCTGGGCTGTCACAGTATGATTTCATTCCGTTGAACTCTCACCTGGGAGTCTCCTTGGACATGAAGGACATTATTTAAAGGCTCAAGAAGATCATGAAGTCTCCGGTTTTGCGTCGGTATTCCTGTCCCAGAAGAAAGACACGTTATTCGTCAATTCGCCTACAGACAAGCAATGTTCTTTCGTATGGTTAAACGATTTTAAACAACTATCTTACGATAATGGTGCGATAGCAGGCTGATGATCAGGCTGGCTGGGCTGGCTCAAATTCGGCAGTTAGACCTACAAAGTAATACCAAGACTCTCCGCTGCACCATCGGGTGGGAAGTCCGCAAAACTGAGGATAGAGGGTTGCGGGAGATGATTAACTATATACTTGAAAGCGGAATGTAGTTGCGAGGTAAGCACATATGATGCTTGCATCGTGTCCTACCGAACTGCCAAAGGGAACGTCTGTGGAATATCAATGCTTAGACAGTCAACGGTGCAAAAGCAATTCAAACATGGCAGCTTGCAGCTTGGTATACTCTGTACATACTCAGTATTTCAGCTTATTTCAATCGTGTGATGCCGTGACAAGGCCCGTATAGGGCTGACCAGCCGTCATTCTGATTGAATATACCAGTATGATAGGCCGTGATTGTAAGAGTGTGCGCGACTACACAAATATTCACAGGGCGAGATCATGGTACACGTACACTGTCCCTGTATTTGCCTCGCGTTTTGAAGACCGATCTCAAGCTCAATGTCTTCAATTGCTTTCTTATCTAATGTGAATTTTCCGATGAGTCAGAGCGTATTCGTCGGTGTTTCCTTTACCGCCTTTGCTGATAAGCCGAAACAAGACGGCCGACGCTCTTGGGATGGATGTTGGCAAGATGTTTGGATGTAAAGCGATGGCCGAAAGAGTAAGAATTAGATGGCTAAGATACTAGAACAATGTGTTTTCTCTTCACCGGGATAATCATTCAGCATGTTATTCCAGCTGAGTATATCGAAGGGACTATACTTAACTGCACCTCTCCGTAAACTGAACCGGCGGGACAGTCTTGGTCGCTACCCACCGGTCTATTCTTTGAGCCCGATAGTCAACCGTGAACCGGCTCATCGCCTACCGGGTCGCGCCCGGCCCGGAAAGTAGCGCGTATTGCACAGTATTATTGGTAAATTACGTGGAACTTCCACCCTCTCACTAATTTCAATTACATACTCTTGTTGGCCCAAGCACGGAGTCTCTTCCTCGTAGAGTCATCCTGGGTAAAGGCCCAGGTCTTTGCGACGCGCAATGCAATTAAAGATGGACCGTGAAATAACACCCTGAGTAGCTGACTGTAGGATTACAGTAGTGGATCGAACTTCTGCTTACAATACCATCATAAGCGGCTAGCCAGGGCAATTGGGCAAGTGTGGCTAGTGCAGCTATACTATGCGTAATCGAGCTTCATGTGTGGAGACAGTCGGATTATCAAGAATTACATGTGTGAAAGGATGTCTTCTTGGGTCAGTACCAACAGCGAAGCAGATCCGCCGCGCGCCTGTGATCGATGTCATGCCATTAAAGAACGCTGTGAATGGGTGGCAAACCAAAGCCAGTGCGAGCGCTGTCTGCGACTACAGCATGTCTGTGAAACTGTCAGGCCGAAGGGAAGAGCTGGGCGAAAGCCAGGAGTACAGGGAAAACAATTATTCCTAGGGGCTCATTCATCGCGGACGAAGCGCAGGGGCAGAGTCCACGATCAACGCCCTCTTTCTGTCTGGGCTGATTTCCAAAAGAAACACGGCAGCGGTCATCTCGCGACCATCCCAAAGTATCTCTCAGGCTTTGAATTGGGTCACGTACCGGAGAGCGACCAGCGTCTGGTCCGGCACTTCCTGTTCGATGACCGCCTCTTCAACATGTTCTCAGTGGGCTCTAGCTTCAGCGAACAGGCGCGTGGACAAATTATTCCCCACCTTCTTTCATCCAAGCCGACGTTCTTGGACGGGCTTCTGGCCTGCGCCATCTCCTGGGCTGGTGCCATCGGCTATCATCAAGTAAATGCACACCATCTAACCGCTTGTTATCGTTATGCTTCTTCCGCTATCGCCATGTTGACATCGCTAAAAGTTAGTGATTTCCGGACTATGGTCGACTGTCTCATGCTCGGCGCGCTAGTCTCAACGTTCGCGGTGAAGTTGCGACTCCCTGACATCCTAGCTATTTGTAGCCGGACGTTGGGGCTTATTGAGCCTATATACGCTGTTAGCAACCCAGCCCAGGTCGAGTTTCGAGGGTTTCTGTGCTGCGTTATCACGTGGGAGCTCCGTGCTTGTCTGTTCAGCTGTACAATGCCTACATTGCGCTTCAGGCCACCACTTGAAGCGTACGCTGATCGTCACGCCGGCTTGTCTGCTACCCTGTTACCACTATTATATGATATCTGTAAACTGAGCCATACGGTAGCCCTAGATGAAACGAGGCGTACAGATATCCTTGAAGAGCTCGGCGTCGTTGAGAAGTCTGTACGTCATTGGCAGCCCCCGGTGCCGGAAGACTTGGCTACCCGATTCGATACAATCGAGGTGGCTCATATGCTTTGCCATGCACAGGTAATGCAAAAGGCCGCGCTGCTAGTGATCCATCGTCTGAGATGTCCATTTGGCGTGAATGATGGACCCGCGCAAGTCCTGTCAATGTCCATCTTGAGCCAGATCGAGATGACGTCTACTGTTACGAAGCAACCCGTTCGGGGTATTGACATAGCTCTTATGGCTGCCTGCATCGAACTCAGGGGTAGTGAGCGCCGAAGGTGGCATTCCAACATACCCACATTTTCTGGGTATTCGCCTGAGTTTGGACAACATGTGCAGAATGTCCTCAGCTCATACTGGGTGTTGATCGATACCTTTGACACGATATCATGGGACAGTCTGGTTTCTTCAGGTGCCCCTTTTCTTCGAAACTCAACCTGATTGTTAACCCGAACAATCAAGAAAAGCTAGGTAGACTAGCTACTATGGAAGGGGACTTTGATCTTCACGTTCCTGAATCTATGAGATTACTACCCACTCGAATCACCATACAAGCACTACTAATCCGATGCGATACACTCGTTAAGGTTCCTACCTAGCGCAACCCCTCATGTTGCTGCTGTATGTACGATTAGCCTCAAGGAACCAACAGATTCAACCTAGATAAGAGCGATCGCCTCCATTAAAGCTTCTGGTGAAAGGAAATTAAGCATGACCTCTGGAACCATGATCACAAAATATGTGTCGCGCTGTATAATCCGTTACTAATACCTCCGCCGAGGGATTAGTTACCGGAAAGACTCCTGACAGGGACTCGTGCCTCTAGGAGGTAGGCTAGATCGAACTACCCTTCAGAAATCACGCTCTGCTTTTCCAAGTCAACCCGATATAGGCGCCGTCAGGCCTTCAATATTTCCTCTCAAAGCTAGAAACTGTCTTTCCTACTAAGTAGTCCTCTATCATCTGCACTATTTAGTTGGCTTTGACCACTAGCAACTAGGACTAGTGCTCGGCCGACGACCAGCAAGGCGCCTCCGTAAACATCAACAGCCAATGGCGTCTACCCTGCCCAGGGCGTTCCCAAGTCTTCCCCCTAACAGTTGATCTAGAATCACCTTTCCAATATCAACGGGTTCATGATCATTGGCACGGGGGCCTCGCTGCCCTCCTCGTATCGCAGTCTCTAACCCAGAGGATAGAGAGCACATTGAGAGAAGGCGAGCAAGTATAACTCCTCGGTTCCCGCGCATCTTTCCGCCGCCGATTGATAGGATGTTTATGTTTCCTGCTAGTTCGCGAACGCCTTCTGTAATACCGAGACCAAGATCAAGATCGCTAAAGCACTGTGAGTTATGCTTCTACTGCATAGAACGTTCAACCCAGGACGATAGTTCCCATCTGAGCCCGACTGTCGAGCCGTGACCATCGTTCTCAAGAAAGCGCGAGGAGTGCTTCAAGTCAGAAGGTCCTTATCTCCGCGCTCTTCGCATGTTCCTGAGCCAGCACGTTCAGTTCCTTGGTGGCTCCAATGGCGTTATCAATGAACTTAGCCACCTGAGCAAAACCTTGATACCGTACTCTCCATGCTGTCATAACCGGTGAGCCATGTAGAAGGCGACTCGGTTCTCTTGCAGAGGTGTCTCCGGGGGGTCCGTCTCCGTTACTTGCAAGTTGCAACACCCAGCAAATCGAGAACACGTTCTACCCTTGCCTCATCAATCCCATAGGGATTGAGACCAAGCTATGCCAATTGCGTATCAGTCCCAACAGACACTAGCGAATAACCCAGATCCATGAGGGTGTCTGCCCAGGCTTTCGCGTTAGCTGCTAACAGGTGATCGCAGGTGCGCAAAGTAAGGTAAGTCTCGGGTTTAATGGCGTAACACCCTTCCGGGCCTTCGAAGCTTGCATTTATGACCATAGAATCCAAAAAAAAAGAAGAAAAAAGGAAAAGTTAAAAAAAGATAGTTGCAACTCTCAGTCTATGAGAGGCATCAGGGAATTGAGCCCGATGCGGGGGTCGAACCTGCGAGATCACGTGATTAGCACGTGACTTGATTATTTGTGTAGTGTTGATTTTGTGAGCTTACCCGCAACCTTGAGATTAAGAGTCTCACGCTCTACCGATTGAGCTAACCGGGCGCTTCTTATTGGTTGGAGCAACGGCTGCGTGTTGGCTATTGTATCCGGCGCCAATTGACTAGCACTTGATTCTGGTACTGCTTGAACTCCGGCGTGAGTACCTGTTGCAAAGCAACAGCAAGCGCCGCTATGGTATTCTTATGTGGCGAGCTCTGGTGACCTAGGCTGATGGGGTGCTCGAACTCAATGCTGAAGCTCGGCATGAACTTGCGTTTTTATATGTCGCGCTCGTTGGGCAGAGAGAGAGAGAGAGAGAGAGAGAGAGAGAGAGAGAGAGAGCTTCTTGAGCGGCTATGCGCCTTTGATCATATTCAACTGGGAAGCGGGTACACCAGACTCCCACGACGAGATGGAGGCGCAAAGGACTATAGCTGTCCTATCACATGATCAGCGCCTGCGGCTCCCATTCTGCTTAGGACACGAAGATATACCAACAAAGGTAAGTCAGGAGAAGATCGATAAAGGGCGTACAAGCTTGCACCCGATACTCTGGAGAGCTATGGCCAGGTCCTCATAGTATGTTTGGACACGGCCTGATATCTTAAGTCTAAGGAGACATTAACTACATCAGGCATGCGACATTATCGAAGTTGATGAGCCAAGCTGTTTCGATGCGGATTACCGCTGCGATGTGTGCCGGCAAAGCAGGTCGTTAGACGACTTCTCATTCCGGTGGATTGCACAGAGCCTAGAGGCAAGTGGTATGCAGAGCAGAGCGCCAAGATCGACGGGAAATTATCAGCGCGAGCGCTTCATTTCGTGGTTAAGAGTCAGCAGTCTTACGGTGGCGCAGGGACATACCTGATCCACGCCGATGAAGACCGCGTGAAGCTCCTGCGAGGTCGATGCGATGGCGGCATCTTGCGCAGGACGCCGTAGTCCGTCACGGAGGATAATAAACATCTCCGGCCCGCTAGTATCATTGTGTCAGAGCTCATAGAAACCACGATAGGGACCTGGCGCTTGTCCTTCTTCGTCACCGAGAACGCTGACGAGCCTCATATTCCTCGCTGTCACTGAACTCATGCAACTCCAAAGGCGATTCTACATCGGCAGCCCGGTGCAGTACGACCGCCAGGACGAGTTAAAAACCAAGCCCGCAGAGTTAGTGAAAGACATGAGCTGCTGGTCTCGCAGCTTTAGGTATTAGGTCCGGTTGGGGCGGATGTGTTGGAGACTACTGGCTCTGACTCAGGGAAGTGTCCGCAAGAAACGTGGGAACGGCGGCGGAGATCTTGTGGCAGATGCGAAGGGATGCAAGTTCCATCTCCTCGATATCGAGGCCCGTACGTCAGAACAGCTATGCCTTCTGCTTCTCCGGACTCATTTCACCGGTCGCGGCTTGAAGTGCGCCGCCACCTCTTTCGAAGATACGACCATAGTTTATCGATGGGCTCGAAGACCGTTTCTGTTGAAATAGTGTATTACAGAGGGGACAAAGTAATGCATACTTTTGCCAGTTTCTGCAAAGGCAAGATCTGTATCTTGAGCTGGTACGATGACCTGTGTCCAATATAAATTGGAATGCTGTCGTTGGAGCTGAGGATACCTTTGCTCTAAAAGAAGATGTGCAGCGGATTCGAAACACATCGTAGGAAGTGTCCTTTGAATCAGAGTAGAACGACTGTTAGCTTTAATATTCTTGTTTTGGCCGTGTTCGCTATGCCAACCTATTCTCTCCTTAGCCTCATCTGTATACCACTCACTCTACTTCAATCTACTCTTTTTCGCGACGAGAAATCGTTGAGCTTCAGTAGCACTGGTACAGCTGTCAGGCCAGCTGTACGCGCACAAAAGGGCACACACCAATCTTATATATAGAATTCTTTCTTTTTCTTCTTCATCCTACGATCAATATACATTTGGTACCCCAACTAGGAGCATTGCCTCTAAAAAGGACCCCAGCCGTGACAAACACTTGATTAACCCAACTAAACAATATAAGTACTACCAGGTATGCAGGTTATGCACATTCATTTAAACCTATCTATGTACCGTAAAACCCACGAACTGCATTTAAAGAACCCGGCTGGCCTTATCGACAACACGATAAGCGAATAGGGTACCTATAAAAGCTTTAGGAGGTCAGCCAAAAGGCCGCCTCCAAGGTGAACTCAAAGGATAACTGGTTTTTTATATCTCATCCCCGTACTAGAAATACTCAGAAGTGCGTTACTTTTCATTGTCCACCTACCTTTAGCGAATGATTCTAGTACTCATGAGCAAGGCTGTCTCGGAAGATGGTTTGGGTGGTCGTGGGCGGTCGTGGGCGGTCGTGGGCGGTCGTGGGCCGGGGCTGTACCAAGATATGATGATGATAATGACTGATTGGGAATGCCCCATGCCTGATACTGCACTAGGCGTTATGCCAGTCGGAATTGGCTTGTCTGTCTGATCTTGGGTGCAAGACAAAAATAAGATGGGAAGATGAGAGGATGGGAAGACGGGAGGACATGGGAAGATGGGAGGATGGGAGAGTATAGGAGGATGGGAGGATATGGGATAAATCAACAACCATTTGTACCAAGAAGGCACTAAGCGTTCATATATTTCTATCCAAGGCAGGCTCGCCTAGAACTTGACATAGCAATAGGAACCGACAAGCTGAACCGATACTAGATTAAGAAGTCGTATTGAACAAAAAGGCAACAACAGCTTAAAAGCAAACAGGTGTTTCTTTCTAAGACCTATCTTAACTATAGCAATAACGGAAAGTGAAGGCTTAAGCAATAAACTATAATCTTCGTTTTATCGTGAAAACTCCAGGGACATAAATTGTATGTAAGCAAACATGTAGGCAGGTAATAGCACCGACGTCGCTTTACCTGGCCATAAGTCTAGATACAGTATTTGGTATATAGTATGTTTCCCTACACCTTGAGTTCGGCACTCTCGGCTGCTCGCTGTGACACCTCACACGATATCTCGCCCAGCAAAGCTACTTCTTTTAGGACCATTTTTAGAATAACCCACCTGTTTATGGCCCATCATTCTTGTGTTCAGCCGCCATTCATATTTCCATTGCTCGATTCTATAATTTGTTGCTGCTGCTCCTTCACTTCTTTAATGCTCTCCAGCACAACATTGTATAGGCGTCCCGACCTAATCGACTCGTAGACCCGTGTGTTATATAGTCCAATGCTCGGCGTGACACCATCCAGCGTCACCGCCTCTGTCGAAGCCAGGTGCTCCTCGCCCAGGAAGGGGATGCCAAGATCTTTCCGAATGAAGTGGTACATACGCCGCGAAGCCTGGCCGATATGCGGCGTCGCATCAGGCGGCAGAGTGTTCCTGCCCTCGATCTCTATAGTGCGCAGGTCGAGCGCTTGGCAAAGCGCCAGCAGGTGTGCCGAAGCGAGCTGAGACAGCACGTCGACGGCCTCGAGCGTGTAGCGGGCCGACACGAGTGCAAGGGAGTTGAGAGATTGGTTCCCCATCTCGGCCGTCTGCACGTGCGACCCGACGGGATTGGCCAGGAAGCCCAGCTCGGACGTCAGGCCGGCAATTACGACGTCGAGTCCCTTAAACAGGAACGAAGTGTTAGGGTCGTCCGAGCACAGATTCGGCGGCAGTCCCCAGCTGGTGTCCGGGTTGATCATCTCGGTACACTGGCTGAAGAGCATGCGACCGATGCTCTGCAGGCCCTGACGCAGCTTCTCAACCGCAGATGTGACGGCACGTGCCTGGAAATTACCGCCGTGGAACACGCGGCCCATCGCCGCGTCGATCAGGGGATTGTCCGTCACCGAGTTCAGCTCGACGGTCAGCTGATGGTGCGCCAGGCAAAAGTCCTCCAATACGGGGCCGATCCACTGGCTGGCCGTACGCAGCGAGTATCGGTCCTGGCGCAGAGTTGCGACGTCCTGGCTGTCGTGTCTGTTTAACAGCCGTGAGCCGGTCAGGAAGGCATTGATATTCCGCGCGCTGTCTACCTGCCCGGCGTGCGGCCGCACTCGCGCGATGAACGGCTCGAAGCTCTCATCGCTGCCGCGCAGTGCCTCCACGCTCATGGCCGTCAGCACTTGTGACAGCGCTGCGAGGTTGAGAGACTCGTGTGCCGCTAAAGCCGCCACCCCGGCTGACACGGCGGTGCCGTTGACGATGGCGAGACCTTCTTTAGCTTGCAGACTGATGAGCTCTATGCCGGTCTCCGACAGGGCGAGGTCAGCCGTTTTCACCTTCCTAGTCCCATCAATGTGCCTTGGACCAACGAAGGCTGTAGCGGATGGCTTGCCTTGCATTAGGGCACCGATCCACGCGAGGGCGCTAAGGTCCCCCGACGAGGAGATACTACCTCGGACAGGAATACGTGGGACGACGTCTTTGTTGAGGAGGCTCATCAGACATTCTGCGATGTCTACCCGTATGCCCGACGCACCACCGGCCAGGGAGTTGAGGCGAATCAGCATGGACGCGCGCGCCCACGACTCTGGCATGCAAGTAGCGGCAAGCGGGTCGTTGAGCGGAAGCGAACTTTTCACGAGCGCGCGCTGTTGTTGCCCTATCGAAGCTTCGTTGCTGGGATCGGTCTCGCCATTGCTCTGGCTAGAATGCCCATTGATATTCAGAACAGGCTGCTGCTTGCCGTCCGCGATAATCCCGCATGTCAGATGACTGAACACACTTTGCTGGACTCTCTCGACATCGTTCGATCTCGTATGTGCGCTGCCCCCGAATCCCGTGTTAACGCCGTAGATAACATCTCCTTTGGCAAGCTTCTCTGGTATAACCCTACTGCACACTTTGATGGCGTCGATGGACTCAGCCGTGAGCTTCACCTGTGCCAGATCTCTCGAGACCGCTACCACGTCAGCGATTGTCAACCCACCCCCACCTATTGACACAGTCGCCTCGGGGGACGACAAAGGATCACGCCACTGCGACAGGACGAGGTCCGTGAAGGAGTATGTCGGAGTAACCATTTTGATTCTGGATGAGATGAATCGTTAGAAGCCTGAGCCTTTTTCAAGTGATAATGATACAGCGGCGAAAAGATTCTC